AAAGGAAGAAATTTTGTACATATAGCCTGTGTGCTGCCGCCGCTCGAATTGTGATGGATCTGTTTTAGAGCATCCCGATCTAAGTCACTGTCCCTTTTCTTCACTGCCTCTGCGCGTTTTTTTTTTTTTTCTCTTCTTTTTTTCTGCTTGCTCTTTTGTATAGCCCCGTGTGTGTGTTCTCTTCTTTGTTTTTTGTTTTTCGGTCTTTGTAAGTACCACCAAGTGCATGCGCCCGCGTTTTATGTGGAAGGGTGTCATACGCACTTTATCAACACCAAGAAATTGCGTTTATACTTGACCCTTGGTCGACACACTTGAGCAGGCCGAGCTACTGTCTTCCTTGCTACCTCTAGAAGAAGCCAAGTCACTCTTGCAACATTCACAGAGTAGCATTTAGCTAGAAGGATGAAACGCTACACTAGGGAGTTTCTTCTGTCCTTTGCGGACAGTGAGAATTGCCGGCGACCACCGAATGATCTCGATCCAGCAGTGAGAAGGTTAGTATGTGTCTTACTGCTGTTGTCAAGCATCTGGGCTAAATTTTGTGGAAGGTGTCTGCAGAGACTCCCCCTCACCCGACTTAGTGGACAGTGGGGTTTCTCCTGGAACCAAGTTCTTACACCGTCGAGATCGTGACTTTGGTCACGATGTTCCTGAGTGGCGAAATAGGAACTCTGGGAATGGAGGGGGGCTTCTTTCTCAGGGTCCGGCTAGGAGGAAAGCTTATGACGAGGAAGGATCTTCTTTTTCAAGTCCGTTTCGTGCTAGTGGTAGTCGACAAGGACCGGGTCAGACTAGGTGGGATCATCGTAGCTCTATTGATCGGGAGAGGGAGAGGGGTGGGCGACACTGGGATGGAGCTGCCTCTGAGCACGATGGTTTGCTTGGAAGTGGTGGCGGTCTACGTGGGGCTTATCCTGGAGGTCCCGACCGCTTCGTTGGAGGTGGCAGAGGATCTCGGAACAATGCCAATGATACGCGTCCCAACAAAGTAAGATGTTTGACGATTTTGTGTTCTCTTTCCAAGCTGAATTGCCTTGGATCAGTTTTCTGGTGGATATCGGAATGATCTAGACGCTATTGATGGTGAAACTTTCGGAGAGAAAAGTTCTACTGAGGATAGAGAAGAGGAAGAGCGCAAAAGACGAGGTAATTTGCTGGAACTTCGTATTTACGCTCATTCTTGTCTTTAACTTTGCAGAGTCGTTCGAGTCGATGCGAAAGGAGCAACAACAGGAGAGGAAACGTCAGGAGGAAAAGAAACGTGACGACGATACTAAAGTACTACCAGTAGAGCAGAATGCGAAACAGGGATCGCGGCCTTTGGTACCTCCTGGCTTTAGTAAAAAGACGAGCGCCAGAAAGGAGCAGAACAACGAAGAGGTAAAGCTTCAGTCTTATATCAGGTTTCTGATGCTCTTAAGGCATCCAGGCTAAAGAAGAAAAGGCTATCGGTGGCGACGTTATACCGCTTCAGCAATCATCTGGTGCTGTCAATCCACTCGCAATTGCCATCTCGTTAACGGAAGCCGAATCCTTCGCGCTTACTAATGATTCTGGCAATGGAAAAATCTCAAACAGCACTGGTGCCATGACAGTTCCTTCCTCCAGCCCCCAGGTGGTAGTCAAGTTATAAATTCAATGCAGCGTCTGATTTTCTGTGCAGACTGAGAAAGTGGATGCGCGCCTAACCAGGACGTCATCGAAGTTTGCTCATCTGTTCAGCTTTGAAGGTACTCTTTCCTTTCACATTTTCGCATGTTCTCATTGAGTTTGGAGCAGATGATAACTCTACCATGGAATTCCTGTCCTTGTTTGGTTCTGCTGGGAGTACATCAAAAGATGGTGGCCAGAGTCCACGGTCTCCTGCTCTTAAAAGCTCCGGGATGAAACCATCGTCTGAGGTTGTTCAGCACGGGCTGATCCTACCCATGCCAGTCGGCCCGTCACTTGAGGACATCGAGAAAGGTTTCGACAATGGTGCGGGTTCGGATCACCATGGAAGCTCCAGCACGTTCCTTACATGTGAGGATATAGAGCAATCACTACTGGCCGAGGCAAAAACTGAAACGCACAATGAGCAATTGAACGACAACTGGGGACATTCGGTTGCGAAAGAAGCGGATACGGATGCTTCGCGACATTTACTGTCTCTACTGCAAAAGGCATCCTTGAAGCCCGACAACGAACACAAGGCACCTCCAGTGGAAGCTAAACCGTGTGATGGACAGCGTGAAGCCAGGGATGGAAAAGAGTCTGGTGCCGCAACGCTAGAAGCACTGTTTGGCATGTCGTTTATGATGGAACTCCGGTCGACTGATGCGCCGCTTTCCGCAAAGGTGGCGAGCGAGACGAACAATCATCTTTTGCCGAAGAACGCTGCCACAGTTCCTGAAAAATCGAACGCTGCGTCAGAGGTACTGGATGGGATGTACATGAACACCAACAGTCATCACCCGAGCTGGCCAACCTGGAACAAGCAGCCAGAAGTGCCGGAGAAGAGCTCCGGAAACTCTCAGCACGTCATCGCCGACACTTCGCCGGGACAGGAGCTCCGGAAACAGCCTTCGGAGGAGCTTGACAGTGGCGTCTTCAACGATTTCCTCAAGTTCAAGAAGGCCATGAAGCAGCGCAGCAGCAAGGCAAACGATCCTTTCCTCGGGGTGGCGAAGGACAGTGGCTCCCAGGAAAACTCGTCCAACGAACGGCCAGAGAACCCGCTTGACACGTCCAGCAACGGAGGAGGAAGCCCAGCAGTGACTACTCCAGCAAACCTCTACAGGTCGCACTCTCCTCCGCTGATCAACCAGAAGTCGTCCGCGCTGCAGCTCCAGCAGCTCCAGCAGGCCTTGGCGTCGCAAGGCTCGAGAGCATCGATCCAGGCAAAGCAGCAAGCGAACGGCGAAGCGAGTGCCGGATACTCCCGAGCGGCGAGACCATCATTCTCTCGACAACAGCAGCAGGCACTGTTTGAGCAGCAGCAGCAGCAGCTTCACGCTCATCACTTCCACCAGGGAGGAGGCTTTGCTCCGCCACCATCGTCGGCCGCCGCTTTCGGCCACCATGATCTTCACCACCACCTCTTGTACAGTTCCAAGCAGCAGCAGCGGCCTCACAGCTTCTTCCCTCCAAATGGCTCCAACCAGCAGCCGCCACTCCCCCCGCTGGCCAGCTTGCATCTTCCACCGGGTCACAGCGCTCCGCCAATGAGTTTCGGACATCATCCTCCTCTCGCGACGCCTGGCGCCTTCCTCGGCTTTCCACCTCCCAACGATGCTGGCTTTCTCGTCGCGGGAGAAATCGCCGCCGCCGCTGGTGGTGGCGGCGGTGGTGCTGGTGCTGGATTGGATGCGCGATGGATTCCTGGCAGAGATCATCCCATCGGTTTATATCATCACCACCATCAGCAGCAGCATCACCAGCAATCGCAGTTTGGTGCGCACGAGATCGGCTTCCCGTAGAGAGTTTGTATCGTTTGTGGATGGATTGTTTTGGTGTAAGCTCGTTGGAAAACTCAAGATCAAGATCAAGCTGGTCCTTCTCTTATGCATTCTATGATCTCTTTGTGTTTTTTCTCTTGGTTTTTGTTATTTTTGGTTTCTTTTTCCAACTTCCAAACAGAAGAAGCTTTGGAATGTTGCAATCAATCGAATGCAACGTGGAAGTGTATCCATTTGACCACTCATGTGTTTGGAATAATTCCCAGATTCCCAAGTACTCTCTCTGGCTGCCACCTCCACATTTGCGTTTACTGCGTGTTGTGTTGTTCCACTTTCACCCCTGCTCATGTTGTGATCTCGCCCGGGAGGAAACGCGGCGAGGGGACGATCGAATTCGCGCAATCCGAGGAGATGGGTCGCTCCGGGGCAGCAATCGATAACTTGGGTCGCGGCGCAAGCAGGTGATTGTCTCGCGCAGGCAGAGAAATGGAGACGATCCTTCGCGAGGAGGAAGACTATGGCGGCGGCGCGCGAGGAGCAGCAAAGGATCCATCGCGAAAGCCTCACGTCGTGGCGCTCGCGTACCCAATGCAGGGCCACATCAATCCCATGATCCATCTCTGCAAGCGCTTGGCGTCGCTGGGCCTCTCCGTCTCGCTCGTCAACACCCAGACCAACCACGACCGCCTCGCTCGATCGCGCGGCGCCGCGCTCGAGCAGGGGCTCGACATCGCCATGCTCGCGCTGGCCGACGACGAGGAGGATACATCCGCCCACCAGGGGGGGGCTGGCGCCGGCGGCGACGACGCCCTCCAGCGATCGCTCGTCGCGGCGGACGCCATGGAGCGGCCGTTCGTGGCGCTGCTACAGGGCTTGCTGGATCGCGGCCGGGGAGTGGATTGCATCCTTTCGGATGCGTTCCTGGGGTGGAGCCAGGACGTCGCGGATCGATTTGGGATACCGCGAGCGGCGCTCTGGGCGTCGTCCACCGAGTACTGCCTGCTCAATTTCCATCTCCTGGAGCTCCGCACGCGAGGGTACGCTCCAATTCGAGGTGAGATTCGCGAGAATTTGGTCGGATTCGATCGACCGTGTGGTGTGCTCTGTTCTTGACAGATGCGTCGGTGCTGGACGATGACAGCCACACGATCGCCTTTATCGACGGCGTAGCGCCGCTCCATCCCAAGGACCTACCGTCTATTCTCCAGCGCTACAGTTCACACGATCCAGGGTTTGAGAAGCGCTACGCGAGGACGCGGCGGCTCTGCGATGCGTACTGGATCCTCGGCAACACCTTCCAGGATCTGGAGCCCGATGCGCTGGACGCGATCCAGCAAGCGATCAACGGTGATCCAACCAGCGCCGCGAAGAAGAAGAGGAGGAATTTCTCGCCAGTGGGTCCTCTGCTTCCATCGGCGTTCCTGGGGCTGGGCGGCGACGATCTGGGGTCTGGGAATGGGCTGTGGATCGAGGACGAGCGCTGCGTGAATTGGCTGGACAAGCAATCCCCCTCGTCAGTCCTCTACGTCTCCTTCGGGAGCTTGGCGGTGATGAGCTCCGCCGAGATGCTGGAGCTGGCCGCGGGGATCGAATCGAGCCGGCAGCCATTCCTGTGGGTGATCCGCCCCGGCAGCCATCTCGGGAGCTTCGATCTGGAGGGCTTCGTGGAGAGGACTCGACAGCTAGGGCTCGTCGTGCAGTGGGCGCCCCAGCTCCAGGTGCTCTTCCACCCCTCGGTGGGCGGATTCCTGTCCCACTGCGGCTGGAATTCGACGATCGAGAGCATCGCCATGGGCGTGCCGATCATCGGGCTACCTTGCATCGCGGAGCAAAACCTAAATTGCAAGCGCGCTGTGAAGGACTGGGGCGTGGGATGCAAGCTCCAGCAGCGCGGCGATGGCGATGGCGATGCGATCGTGGGGCGCGAAGAGATCGAGCGCGTCGTGACACGATTCATGACCGGCGAGGACGGCATGGAGCTGCGAATTAGGGCGAGGGAGCTCCGCGAGGCGGCACGACGGTGTGTGATGGACGGCGGGAGCTCCCACAAGAACCTGGAAGCGTTCGTGGAGGCCGTGAGAATCAACGGTCTAAGATAGAGAGATCTATGGTTGAGATGCCACCGTCGATTTAAAATAAAATTTGCCGCGTAGGTACAGGTGGATGCCACGCGGCACAAAAGATTCTCCTTTAAGGATGACTAGGCGCCACGTGTTCCGGGCATTGTCTTCATCTGAGCAGCGCCAAGGCGGCCTGGCGGCTTGGAAGCGCGAGAGAGAGATCCCATCGCGGAGATATCTCGAATTTCTTGCAGGATCGGTGTCTGAGGTAGCTAGAATCGGTGGATTGAGCGCCATCAAGCGCGATCGAGGCGAGAAAACTGGGCAAAATTTCCAGCAACAGTGTTTGCGGCCTAGGGTTGGGAAATGTCCACAAGCGGGGGCGATGGAGAACCCAAGGTAAGCGATTTTGCAAATCTAGAGACCATTTTCCTTGCTTTCCTTCTCGTGCTTGGAAGAAAATCCCAGCTTGGGCATTTGTATGGTGGATTTGCTTCTTTTTCGCACGATTCCATCATTGTTTCTTGTTCTTCGTGACTTGACAAGTGACAATGCTGTGCTTTTTTGGCCTTTATTTCTCGTGCTCGAGTTGCTTGGTTGACATTTCTATGGAAGATTTCTTTCTTGTTCTAGTGAGGAATTTTTAATTCTTTCTCACCCTATGAACCTTTACAGCTTGTTATTCCACCTTACATGGTCGCCGAAGCCATGTCTTCTCTCCACGGGCTGGATCTAAGGTGGTCAAGTCCGATCACTCCCACGGAGATGCAATACGTGGAGCAATATGTAAAGGCCCGGTATCCAGAGTTTTTCGCGAAAGC